CAGCCCTCCCAGCCCCTCGCCCGCAGCCCAGCCTGGACCCCCGGCGGTCAGCGGCCAGACCGCGGCGCCGGAGCACAAGGCAGCGAACAGAATGCCCGCGGTGCAGAAGCCAGCGCTGGCCCCCAAGCCCGCGGGCCAGACCCCGCCGTCCTCTCCACTCTGCAGACTGAGCAGGCCCCACCTGGTGGAGCTGCTGGCCCGGCGGCCCGGGAAGCCTGACCTGGAGCCCAGTGAGCCCTGCAAGGAGGGCCAGGGGGACCAGGGGGGCGGCGGGCCTCGGCCCCCCTCCCCACCGCGCCCCGAGGAGCGGGAGGCCCAGCGGGGAGAGGAGGAGGAGGCAGAGAGGAAGCCCGCGGCCCCACCGGAGAAGCCTTCCCTAGCGCCCGAGGCCGGGAGGAAAGGTAGGCGGCCGGATCGGGACAGTCAGCCTCGGCGTCACAGCTGAAGCCGGGACTGCCCGAGGCTGGGCGCAGCCAGGGGCGCCCCAGCACCTCCCTTAGTTAGAGGCCTCTCGCCCTTCCTGGAGGGAGGGAGCCCTAGCGAGACTCTTCACTTTTGTGGAAAGAAACCCTTTGCGGCCCAGAGCTTTCCTGAAAGAAGTTTATTGAGCCGCATGTTAGCCAGAGAAAGGCCTGGGTCCTGGGCAGTGCGGCCGAACCCCCAGCAGGGGCTGGACGGAGCGGGCGGGCATGTCCTGGAGCAGATGGAGGGATGGGGCTCTTCATGAAGTGGGTTTGGGGAGGAAGGATGGGAATTGTTTCAAAAGACTAGACGAAGTGAAAAGGCGAAGCAGAGACGGTTCCAGGATAGGTGCAGGGTCCCCAAGGAAGGAGTATTTGCTGCGCTTGGATTGGCCGTGGGCAGCAGGCGGGAAGTCGGTGGGCAAGCAAGACGGGGGCGTCTGGGCTGTGGGCCAGGCCCTTCTAGTAGCCACCCGCAAGCCGATTCAGAGTTTCAGCGTGCAGGCAGGGCTGGAGGCCGTCTTTCTTGCAGTCACTGACTGGTGAACCTCCCTTATATCTCTCCCCCCACTGTCATTTAATTTAGGACACTTCAAAATTTTCCTCATCACCTTTCCACTCTTCTTTACCAATTTGGAAATACGAACTGACTCTGCTTTGTATCCGCAGCTCACGCCCATTCATGATATTTATGTCACGCAAGAAATAAGTTAAAGGTGCCCAAGGCAGGGAAATGTCCTAATTAATGAAGATGCCCATAGTCATTGGGAGGAGCAGTCATGGCAAAGGCTGGGATTGCCTAGACCAGTGACTGCTCTGTCTCTGGGCAGCTGCAATACCACAGCGGGTGGTTAGGGGCCTTCAGCAGCTTCACTGGCCTTGGGAGCCTCTGTGTGAATAATTGGCTGGGTCTCAGTTTTATGCAACATAACTCTGCAAATGCATCCCCGCCCCACCAGCTTGCCACTGGGAAGCCCTCCAGTAAAGAAATTGTAGAGCCACCCTCCCTCCTGGCTGCCCCTGTTTCTTTATACTGGGTGTTTGGAACCATTTCCGTGGCCACTTGGATTGGCTTGGGGGCCCCTGAGAACCTTTATCTAATACATTCTCATTTCTGTTTTGCAGAGTAGGCCAAGTGTGGGTCATAACCCAGGAGGTCACTCACATTTCTCAGAGGAATTCTCCCCTGAGGTGTTTTAGGGAGGGCTTGTTTTTATTTTTTCTGTTTAATTGTTTTAGGTTAAGGTGGTGATTCTTGCAGAGAAAAGAGCTGTGTTCCGAGGGGTCTTGGTTTGGTTGCTAGCCTCACTGAGACCCTGTCAACCGATTTAACCAAGCCTTGCCTGGTGTCCTGGACTGTTGATCAGCAGCTTCCACCCAGGCCCTTCCTCCCTAATGGTTTCTGTTTGTCCTGGCAGCGAGGAGCCACTTTCAGATTTTGGTTTTCCTTTTTTCCTCCGCGCTGGGCCCCAGGGAGATAGCCACAGTGAGTCCCTGTGAGGCCATTCAGAAAGGTCTCTTAGCCCGGCCGGGCGTGGCTCAGCGGTTGAGTGTAGACCTAGGATCCAGGCGATCCGGGTTCGATTCCCCGTCAGGGCACATGCCCGGGTTGCAGACTTGGTCCCCAGTTGGGGG